ACGGTACACCATATTAGAACCACACCTGGTCCTCCTATCTCATGTACCCCTCGCAGACTGGCACCGGATAAACTAAAGATTGCCAAACAAGAGTTCGAGCTTATGATCTACAACGGCACCGCGCGTCCTTCTGAAAGCCCCTGGTCCTCCCCCTTACACCTGGCGCCTAAGAAGGATAATAGCTGGCGGCCATGTGGCGATTACCGGATGCTTAATTCACGGACTATACCAGACCGTTATCCTATTAGGCACATCCACGACTTCTCCCATTCCATTTCTGGTTGTACAGTCTTTTCTACGATCGACTTGACGAAGGCGTACAACCAAATCCCAGTGTTTGAGGATGACATCCCTAAGACCGCCATCACTACACCTTTTGGCCTGTATGAATTTCCCTTTATGACTTTTGGGTTAAAAAACGCGGGCCAAACATTCCAAAGGTTTGTGGACGAGATGACAAGAGGTCTGGACTTTTGCTTTTGCTACTTGGACGACTTTCTTGTCTTTTCCAGGAACGAAGCAGAGCACGAAACACACCTCCATCAGCTCTTCAGCCGCATGAAGGAATACGGTGTTCTGGTTAACACCCCTAAGTGCGTCTTTGGGGCATCTGAGGTAACATTTTTAGGCTACCGAATATCCGCCTCTGGCACTAAACCTCTAGAATCAAAGGTTCAAGCCATAACGGACTACCCAGTGCCTAAAAACATAAGGCAACTGCGACGATTTTTGGGGATGCTGAATTTTTATAGAAGGTTTGTACCACACTTCGCTTCAGTTCAAGCCCCCCTTAACGCCTTACTCGCTGGGAGCACAAAAAGCTCTCAACCAGTCGATATTTCTGGCGACACTTTGTTGGCATTCAATGAATGTAAAGAAAGTCTCGCTAACGCGGCACTACTGGCACACCCAGATTGTCAGGCCGAACTCGCTCTGGTAACAGATGCGTCCGACCTGGCAATGGGAGCAGTTTTGCAGCAGCTGAAAAATAACGTTTGGGAACCGTTAGCTTTCTTCTCACGGAAGCTAAGTCCAACCCAACAAAAATACTCACCGTATGACCGTGAGCTTTTGGCTATCTACGAAAGCATAAAATACTTTCGTCACATGCTTGAAGCCAGACACTTCGTGGTGTTTACTGACCATAAGCCACTAAGTTATGCCTTCAGTGAGAGGAAAGCTAACTGTTCGCCTAGGCAGTATCGTCACCTCGACTACATCTCACAGTTCACGACCGATATCCGACACATCTCCGGTAAGAATAACGTCGTCGCCGATCCATTATCTCGTGTCGATGAGCTACAGATGCCTGTCGACCTAAATGCGCTGGCTGAATCACAAGCTTCAGACAACGAACTGACACAACTGCTTCAAGGAGAATCATCACTCCGATTAAAAAAAGTTGAAAGTTCCGAATTGTCACACCGAACTTTATTGTGACGTCAGCGCAGCTACTCCAAGACCATTCGTGACCAAGCCATTGAGGAGACAAACCTTCGACTGTCTCCATAGTCTCAGTCACCCAGGCTCTAACGCATCGGCGAAACTGGTCGCCGATCGATTTGTTTGGCCTGGGGTGCGCAGAGACTGTCGGGAGTGGTCTCGTCAATGTTTGGCATGTCAACGCGCTAAGGTCCATCGACATGTGTCATCTCCTATGGGCACCTTCGATCTTCCCAGCGCACGATTTGCCTTTATTCATGTGGACATTATTGGCCCTTTACCAATTTCTCAAGGCTTTCGCTATTGCTTCACCGCGGTTGATCGTTTCACTCGCTGGCCAGAGGTTACCCCTATGGTAGACATGTCAGCTGAAACAGTTGGGAAGGCATTATTATCCTGGATATCCAGATTTGGATGCCCAACGGATATTGTCACTGATCGCGGCGGGCAGTTTGAATCGTCACTTTTCCAATATCTTGGGAAAATGATCGGATTCAAACACCGCAGGACAACCGCGTACCACCCAGCTTGTAACGGATTAGTGGAACGATTCCACCGTCAGCTGAAAGCAGCCATAATGTGCCACGCTGATTGCAACTGGGTAGACTCATTGCCTTTGGTGTTATTAGGCATTAGAAGTGCATTTAAGGAAGACCTCCAAACTTCTTCCGCCGAATTGGTGTATGGCGAGCCATTACGTTTGCCCGGGGAATTCTTCCAGGCAACGTCCCCCCACTCCACCGACGTTTCGGAATTTACCACTCGCTTGCGCCGATACGTATCAAAATTGCAACCAGCACCAGCAGCACGGCACAATAAAGGGAACATTTTTATTTATAAAGAGTTGACTTCTGCCAGTCACGTATTTTTAAGGGACGACACAGTACGTGGGGCATTGCAGCCACCCTACACCGGTCCCCATGAAGTATTGGAGCGAGGGGAAAAGACCTTCAAAATACAGGTCAAAGGGAAACGTATGACGGTATCCATAGACCGCCTCAAGCCAGCCTACATATTGTCTCACACACCTGATTCCCCTTCCACCTCCACGCCCAATTCCCATCCTAGTTCCCTGCCTGATCCTGTTTCTATAGGGCAAAATACCACGCCACAGGATCTTGTCAGAAGAACGCGTTCGGGCCGCAGAGTTAGATTCCCCGATTTTTATCGCCCGTAGTAACGGTCTCCGGGGGGGAGTGATGTGGCGGCTAAATATTTTAAATTAATATGTATTTGTTAATAATAAATATTTATTTATTAATTCTTATATATGTTTCTCATATCTATATTAAGTATATATTATTTTCACGTTTTATTATTAATCACATGTAGCGTATTCATTTTACTAATGTTATTTACCAATGTTTACGATCGCTATCAACGTTCAGCTGTGCCGCGACGCGACGCGGCTCACCTAACGTTTTTTTTATATACGATTCACCGATCGGGCGCCCGGCAACAGCGATTCCGTCCGAGCCCGTGCTACGTCATAAGACACTCGTGAGGCGCGGTACATTAACTCCTATCGCCAGTCGCTTGTTGCTTCCCGCTGCGCTTACGCTTTATCAGATATTACGTGTTGTCATAGTTCCGCTGTAGTTGCTTATTTTCGCTATCCTCTTTTGTTATTGTTTTGTGCTATCTTTTACTCCTTCTGACTTTCTTCTGTGGTCGTATATGTGTGTAGACAATAAATGTTGTGAACAGTGTATTGACTTTACATATTCACCCGACACACACGAACTCACCTCTTCCACCTACCAAATACATATGACATAAATCGCTTTCTCTTCCTATGTAGCCCGTCTTCAGAAGATTTAAATTTACCATTACTCAAAGTTTCACCCTCCATCGTCTGAGCTGGGGACGATTCTGTTTCGAGGGCGGCGTGGAGGTTTACATAATTCCGACAAGTTATATTTGCGATGGGTAGACGCAAGCGATGGCGGTATTTACTTGTGCTGTTTAGCAAATTGAATGTCCTATTCTTAGAATGCATTTGTTGTCTAACTTGAACTAGAAATGTGTAATAGTGAATATTCAAAAATGTGTCGTGGAAGTTCTACGTACAAAAGGTAATTATTACTCGTCAGAAAAAGATGATGAAGTACCTATGTACATGAACAAGGTATTTTACAAGAATAATTCTTACTTTTGTTAGTATTTAATAAATAAAAGTTTAAAAAAGAAACTACAAAAACATGCTTTTGTAGATAACCCAAGTAATACGTAGAAAATAATTTTCAATATATGTAAATTATAAATAGTGTGATTATTAAAAAAAAAAAATTATATATACTGGTAAAAGTAGAGAATAAAAAATATATTTTTTTGTTAATCACACTATTCATAATTTAAATTTATTGAAAATCATTTTCTGTATATTGCATAACATTATAATTTATGGTATGTGAGTTTTTAATAAAAATGTTTACTTAGTTATTGTGGCTTACTCCATTAATTATTTTTCGTATGAATTACGTATGAATGGTATTTAATATACAAAATTTCATATCAATACGGAGCATATAAAATGAATAATAAGCTACGATTTATCGTAGCAAACTACAATACATCGTAGCGGTTTTATTGTGTTATTGTTGTCGTCTACGAAGTTCAAGCTGAAGTATTGAGATCTGTTTATTGAGAAAGCTTCCTTAAAGAAAAACAGATTTTATGAGAATTTCATAGTGCTGTTTGCGACGCGGCTTGATGAAATTGCCCCGGGCTCTATTAAAATAACGACAATATTTTTGCGCTGGAAATCCTTTTTGAAGATAAAACGCCGGTGAGCGAGAAAATTGAATTTGCGTGTGTTTTTTTTCTTCAAGACAGCGACATAAAAAGAAATCGCTTTAAAACACTCTTATATGAGTTTACAGTTACAAAAAGAACAGTAATACAGTAATACAGCTCGCACGACATATTTACTTTATTAAAAATATGTACAGAAAGCGTTGAAGATAGAACAGATAATTTATAAAGTTTAAAACAATACGGATTGTGTCCCATTTATGTAAATTTCCTATTATTTATGTATGCAAATTTTATAAACATCTTTTAGATATTGGACTATACAGAACGTTAAAAATTTGAATATAAAATAAAAAAATATAAAAATTGCTAACAGGATTCGAATATGTGCCAGATTACGCGTCCAGACATTCTAGCTACTAAGCTAAAAGTTAGGCTAGGCTAGTAGAGCTAGGTTGACTACATCCTTAGCGCATCCGTCGCCGTTTTATCTCCTCAGTTTTTAATGCATTCATAGCAATGCTTGGAGTTATCTAATATCATTTCTTTACAGCTATAACATTTTCTCAAATTACATTTTTACAATGAATATATGAAAACTATAAATATAATACATTTTTTTATTTTTGTGCTGGTCTTGAGACCACATTTCAGATCGAAATTATTTTGTTTATGTTTCATCTTAGGTGCTCCCTGCACCTAGGACTAATGGTCGTTTTCGTATCAGAGTAATGAAGTACTCACCATATATTGTAAACGTAAACATGACAATGTGAACGTTTGTTCATAACATGTGTACGTACCTGGGCTCCTCTGCATTAAACCTTGAGGGTCAGTGGCCTCATTGGCGAGGGCAGTTGTCAGGCACAATGCCAGCGCCACCCACCTCAGACGAAGCATTTTCCTGAAAAGAATATTACATTATTTTAATGGTAAATATAAAAAATATTTAATGGTTTATTTAGCGTGGAACATACATATGTAGTTTAATTAGTGTGTCTTTTTTTACTTTCACTTTGTTATTTTTCTTGTACAAAGTTTTCTTTAACAAAGTAAAAACCTATATAAAGCGAAGCATGTTGTAGTTAAGCAACGTCATAAGTGTACAGTCCTTTTTAATTTGAATATTAAGTATATAAGTATTTTTCATTTTATAGATATAGAGTAAACAACACGAACAATTTAACTATTATTTCATAACTGAATAAATATAGTTTGTAGCAGCCAGCGATAATACTATCTTTGTTTTGCGTGATAAAAAGACTTAAGAAATTTATTTGTATGAACATAATAAGATAATTCAGAAGAATAAAGTGCCCAAGGACGATAAACGGTAAACAAGGACGATACAGAAAAATCTCATTTCCTTATTTAAATCGAACGGTACTTTCCGGTTTTTCGGCTAACAACATTGCGAATTGACGATATTCTTTATTTGATTGTGTCGACTGGAATAATTATTGCCCACCCAAAATCCCAAATGTGATTTTCAAGACTATTCTATTTTTGTATATTTTTGTACAGTATTGTAGCAACAAAAGTCGTTTTAAGAGTATCATAAAAAAGACTTCAAGAAAACTTTTCAAACTTTACATTTGAGATTTTTTCGTACCAATGGCGGAGTAAGAAAATTTTCTTAATTAATTATATGAGTTATGCAAATCTTGTACCTAATTTAAATCTATTCCTACCTAATTTAAATCCATTCCATTTAAAACGTGCATCGATTATCGAGACAACGGCGATATGGCGATTCATTTTATTTTATTAAAAAATTAAGAAAAATATGTATCAACGTTGTTAATGTTCGTTTTTCTACTGTGGTAGGGTGACGCAGCAGCCTGTTGCACGAATGGGCAGGCTCGTCCGGGTAAGTACCACGACCTCACAGAAAACCGGCGTAAAGTGGAAGTATAATAAATACTTACGCGTTTCGTCTGGTGAGTGAGGTAGCCGGAGCCCAATCTTCAAAAGATTGTCAATGCATCTGTAACCCTCAGGTGTAGCAGATGTCCATGGGCGGCGGTATTCACGTAACATCAGGTGAACCGCCTGCTCGCTTGGCAACTTTTTACATAAAAAAAATGTGAGAAGGTGGCAAGAGAGGTGGTGGTTCACCTGATGTTAAGTGATATCCGCCGCCCATGGATATCTGCTACAGCCGTAGGGTTTTAGATGTTACCTTTTAATGAAGAGAGCCCTGGTTACCTCACTGACCACAGGAAACGTAGAAGTATAACAATTCCACTGCACGAGGATCTTCGTTGCCAATAATCTTACATAATATATTTTTAAAATATAAAAAGCAATTAGTAAAATTTATTTAGCTTTATAGTGGATGGAGATAGTCGACAGACACGTTTCACCGAATTGATTTTAGTTGAAAACTTTGTGGACTCGATGATGCAAAAATATTTTTTAATCTATGCGCAATCAAAAATCTATTCAGATATTTCGTGGGTTTCGGTTCGTTTTTGAATAAATCCAATATTCCAATACTGACGATAGCATGAGCGTAGTAAATGTAATAACGTCGGTTTCTCCGGCCCACTGAGCACTGAAATTGTGACAAATGACCGTTGTCAACTCATGAAGAAATACAATTATGGGTGAAGAGTTTCGAGCGACATTTCTTTGACTGGTTCCTTCTTAAAAACCTCGTTGTGACTAAGCAAAAAGCCTCTTCATTTTATGGTTTATTATTTATGTATACAATAATACAATAATACAAAAATTTGCTAATTAGAACAATTTTTAGACTCTATCGCTTTAGGAACTTAAGGAAACATGTTTACTAAATAATATTTTAAAAACAAATGTTTCATTGAACATTTATATTTCCTCTTGATTTATAGAACATATATTTGTTAATTAATTATGTTATAAATTATATAGTTTGCTGGTAAGATACTTCCAGAGCCGGATCCATCACAAAAACAAACCAGCAGAGAACTGGACTGAAAATGTATTTAGTCTAATCCTTTAACAAAGTTATTGTGATAACGTTTAATATGATTAGGTTAATATTTATATTTTCATTGGCATGGTGATCTGTACGCTTCGTCGTCTTTTATTACTTATTTATGTAAGAAGTTCACTATTTATCACTTAAGCTACTGCTCTATGACACCGCTGCTTAAGACCAGATTACACTATGAGACCTAAAAATTATTGTTTATTTTAATTGCATTTCGTAACTTTCGCTCACAAACAGGCTTGACGTTCAATGTGCGTTCACATTAACATGTCATTGTTTTTGAATATTTTCTCAAAGCCCTGTACGCGAAAAATGAAACCGATTAAATTTACTAAGATCGATTACAACATATTCCATAATTTGTAATTACACAACAAATTTATTACGATGTTATTACTAAAATGTGTTAGTAGTGAATTTTCTTTTAATATCATACTTTGATACGTTTAAAATACTTTTTTGGGTTCTCTTAGGTTGGGTTAGCATCCTTAGTAAAGGAGCGTTTGAGGGTACAATAGTGAAAACGGGCATTAGACATTTAAATTTCTAGGTTTATGTTAAGTATGAAAAACATGACACTAAGCGTGGAAAGTCTTGATTTACACGGATATAGAACTCGATGAGCTCGTTACATAGTCAAATGGAACACTTTAGTATGTGCGCCCTTCATTAATATTTTGCTTAAGAAAAGTAGGTCGTCGGAAAAGTTTGGGGTTGCGCGGAAAATTGAAGTGAACAACCTTTTAAAGACGACGATGAATTAATAATTGTACACCATCGGTTTTAACTTACATACTATATTCTAAGTTATTCAGATGTCTAGATGAGGTTGAAAATTGAATTAAAAGATTCTATTCCAATTATATACAAACATACAGCTGTATGTACACACAGGTTAGTGCTTTGACTTTGTCTTCTAGAAGTTACAAAATCTTGTCATCGACGTTCCATTAAAACTGTTTTTACGGTATACACAGTTTTACTGTTGTACCACTGGTTCATTTCCATTTCATACAAAACTTGGCCTCACTGGGGCATCCACAACGCCCTTTGATACAAATTAACGGATAGTGAGCTCGGGGACTCCTTTCATTTCCATCCGAGGCAGTGGCAAACTTTTAACAACGGCTTCAGCAGGCAAACGTAACGCCCCATTGTTATCGCTGTCCTGACTGACATTATGTACGGGATACATAACAATGAACAATGTCTTGAATAAAATCTCTTCTGTAACTCTCGAGATATCCAAACAACGGATTTCAAGTGTAAAAATATTTTCTTTCATCTTTTACTACATGAAATTCGTTATAAATCGTGTTTGTTACATTCTTTTATTACATGTCAGTCGAATTTTATAAAACGTTTGTACAAAAAAATAGTCTATCGAAACTATTTCAATACTCTATTCAATAGTCTATTTTTGAACGTCTGAATAAAACGTCCATTGTACAGCCTGAGGGATGGTGAAAGTAAAGGATGAGTCTTTTTGAATGTCACACACTCAAAGCGAGGTCTGCTTTTATGTTACAAAGGGTTTTCTTTATCTTGCTACTTCTGTGACTGTTTGAACATTTTTGGAAAAGATGTCGTATAGTTTCAGAGAGTAAGGGATAAAAATAATTTCTATAGTAAGTATTCAATTCTAGGCTAGTATTGATTTACTTGAAAATTAGCAAGAAGTTTTTATTTCTCTTAAATGTAAAATAGTAAAAGTGATGTTCAATGACTCAGGGACCTTAGGGGTATCATAGAGTATTCTTTACGCTTTAGGTTCGACGATAATTAATAATGGGAAAAATATATTAGCATTTTTACTTTATTGTCAAAAACCAAAGTGATTTTGCTTGAGCAATATGTTTCGAGGTTGCTGATAGTATATATTACGATGAAAATATCAACATCAAAAATAAGTTTTTGTTAAAAAATATGTATTAATCAATATGGTGTATATATATATCCATGCAACTCATTTATAGCTTCAATTTAATTGTATACAACAGGCAAGAAACTTGCACCATGTAAATGGGCCTTTACACTCAGCTAAGCGAGACCTCTATTGATCGGCCCCTCTAGAGTTTTTCGGCCGCTCACGGAGACAATGGGTCTTAAGAGTATTCAAAAAGATTCTATCTTATTGATTGAGAGACACTCTTTGTTACTTTCGTAGCAATTACAATCTCAAAATCAAAATAATGACAATGGCTCGAATGCTCCATCTTTCCCAGTCATCTCAATTGATCTTGAAGAATAACGAATTAGATATTGGCATAAATTTGATCTTTTAAAAGATGGAATCTTGAACGAACGTTTAACAACACAATCATCATGTTAATGCTGCATTACGCGATAGATGTATTATTCAACAAGTTTCAAATATTTGGTAGAGGCTAATAATGGCTATGCACATAAACCTTACTAAATCTTATTAATAATAAATCTAATTTAATTAATTAAAATTTGCTAAATCAAATTATAAGTGCAGCGTTACTCATTGTGTCTGCCTGTAAACCTGCATTCACTTTACTATGTCTGCTATTGTTAAATATTACTTGATACTAGTATATATCATAGAGTACTCGTACCTTGTGGTATTATATTAATGATGTTGTATTATTTCTACTATTTATTTTAATGGTAGCACACCATAGAAAGAATAATTTTTCCCTTAAATAAGGCAAATTCATTTCGTTACTACCCTCTTTTAGTAAATGGAAAAATTTCAACCGTTATTGTTAAACAATTTATTTCACATCAGTACTTCAAAATAGAACAAACGTAATAAGGACGAAGTTGTTTTGAAAGAAGGTCGCGATTAAAGCCACAGATGGGGAGGTCATTCCGTCTGAATGAGCTTTTGTAATCTTGTAAAAGTTTGCAAAGAAAAGATTGAATAGTTGTGACACCTAACAAATGCGGTCAAAAG